ATAAAGTGTAAATATCTGGTTTCAGCTGTGAATATCCTGCTGTGTATTGAAGTTCCTCTTGTTTTGCATAGAAATATACTGAACAACATACAAAGCATAATATATAAAATAACATCTACCAGAGTTTTGTCTTTGAAAGAAGCTCCTTATGTCCATTGTTGTGTTCATCAGTACATAACTGAAACGCTTTGTTTAGCCGTGGAGGGAAACAACTGAAAATATGAAATAAACACATGTAAGCTGAGACTCTCTAAAGAAACAGCTTTGTTGTTGTTCGGCTTTTTATTTCGCCATTTGTTGATTCAATCGAAGAGCGAGTAACGTAACATGGGTCAAGTGATCAGTTTGATATCAATCTTTGGTGATTCACCGTCATATTTACATTATTTGTACAGTACGAATGATTTGCTTTGGTACCTGGTCAAACTTCAGTTCTCCTCTGTCTGCCTGGCTGCGTTTCTCCAACAGCGCACTCGCAGGCCGCAGCTGCCCCGCCCCCTCGCTCAGTCGCTTAGTGCCTGAGCTCGGATCATACCAATATCAGGGGGGATTCACGCACAGTCGTAAATTCCCACAGTGTGCACTATGTGCTTCGAATATTGTGTGTAGTTTTTGTTTTATACACTTGTCAGCCAGGCATCTAACTATGAAAAAATTACACTCCAAAAGACCCCGGGCTTCTGACAAAACAACCCGGGCTTAAGCCCAGTAAGCCACACCCCCGCTCCGCCACTGGATAATCATATGTGCGGGCCAGTTTATTACTACCTGGATCTGCCTGGATCTATTTATAGTCTGATCAGTGACTCAGCAGAGAAAGTGCTCTGCAGTAAATGATATAAGTGCATGTTATGATTTCATGCTGTGAGTAGTCTGTGAGCATAGCAGAAATATACAGCCATGTGTCATTAGCACAATTTTTAAGTATAACCAGTAATTAATAGCTATGTTTTATGAAAATCTCCAAAGACATGACCAACAAAATCGTTTTCATCCATGATTCAGGGAGGTAATTAACAATGCAGCTCAGCCCACAGCTCACCTTTGCTTTTGTATTCCTTAAATCCTGCAGACAGCATGCTTCCTGGTGACTGCACTACTTCATCTCTTATTCATGGCTTCTTTTTCCTGGATGCTGGTGGAGGGCTTGCTACTGTGGAGTAAAGTCGTGTCTGTCAATATCAGCGAGGACCGCAGGATGAAAGTCTACTATGCCATTGGCTGGGGTAAACTCTAATCTCACTGAAGCAGCTTGTCAAGTTTCAGTCTGGTTTATGACATTCAGAAAGAAACATTCATTCTAAAAACTTAATATCAGATTAGAAACTCAGAGTGTCGCCATTGAGTGAGTGGCAACAAGTCCAACAAGGATTAATTCCAAATCAACTTTACAATATCACAAAACTATATAACAGTTAATTCTCAAATAAACTCCTGATAATGGCAGAAAGACTCTTCATCTTCCCAAATCTTCAAATATTTACTAGTTATGGGAAGTTTGGCTCTCTTCAGAGAGCCGGCTCTTGTCGCACGGCTCCCAAAGAGAGCCAAACTCTTGTGGCTCCCAAATGGCTCTTAATTTGTTATCATCTGTAGCCTCATATTTTAGCTTTATTTGGCAAATATGAATGCTTTGTGTGTTGATAAACCCTTTTGCATTTAGCGTTTTTATGAGAAGCCTTATAATTGCCTAATTTAGTGTATTTGTTCTGTTTCAAAAGCAGGATTCTTACAAATCCACAGAACAGAAGCAGAACAAACTCAGCAGTCTGTCCTCAGTGCAGGCTGACATTCAGAAAACTCAGAAGCCTCAGCTTGGATGGGCTGATGTGATTTCTCCTCTTAGTATCTGCTTCTTTAAACTGCAGCCAGATGCTGCTTCATTTGCTGCTGTCAGTTATATGTATGTGTTTCTGCGATGCACTCGCACTCTCCTCCTCACCGCTGTCCTCGTCTCACTCACTGACTGAGGGGTAGTGACGCAATCCTGAAATATTTATACTTCCGTTACCAGCGTTTCATGTTTCAGGATCAATTCCTATATGAAAATGTAAATATCTATCTTGATTAAATTTGTTTTTAATCGTAAATATGACATCCAGACAAAAGTAAACTCTGCAATTAGCGGGATAGTCGGAAACACCCTGTTAATAGGAACTACAATCGCCTCCTGCCTCTCATTCATGTGCGTGCTACGCCTCCGCAAGAGTGGGAGCCAATGAGAAACCCGAGTCACAAAACATTAGAGCACAAAACACACAGTCTTGACTTGTTCACAGATCATAGCTGCGTTTACGTTCAGCATAGAAGTGATGCTGTGTGTGATGGATGTGGGAAGACAGTTAATACAAAGAGCCGATGCTTTTGTGCACATCACTAATATTCACCAAAGTGGCCTTAATGATAGTAAAGTGTTCACTTTGTTGAGTGGGCTCAGTGTAGCATAAACAACATTTAGCAGCATAAATACAACAAGAATGGTCGTGTATGTTAAACAGACAGTTAGTTTTGGTTTGGTTGGCTCTCCTTACAAACTCACCTTTTGGGCTATTTGTGCATTATTTAAATGTAATAACTGCAAAGTCCGTCACAGTCTTTCAGCAGTCTGAATGACATTTTGACGAAATTTGTATTAACAACAAAAATAGGTACAGCTGCTTTAACAACAGTGTCAAATTATTCTGTCTATAAAGTGGTTGCTCAAAGGATACAGATAATCTAACCACAGAGAGAGTACACGTTTATTGTTTCTGTGCGTTCACAAATCCCTGACAAGGTCACTTTTAAAGCTACATTACGTAGTTCAGCTGCTACAAGAATAAGACAATGATTGGGAAGAAGACTGAGTTAACTAGCTTTACTTTGAGTCTAGAGAAGATGCTGCTACATTAAAAGTGTAAAATGTAGACGTCACTGTAGCACATAGTGGCCACTAAGTAGTTCTGCTTATGTTTCTTCGTCCAACTTTCATTCCTTTCAAACATGTGCTCATGTCTGCTGTCACTAGATACCACTACGGCACAGAAGTCATCCAACAACCAAACTGTGTTTTGATCTGTAGCTTGGCTCAGCTGGTACTGGTGGCCAGTGAAACTGTGAAAGATGTGCAGAAGCAGAATGATGGCGAGCCCTGATGTTGTCTAAAGCCACATGTTACACATGCTTACAGTAGTTAATCAGTCAAACTGCAGATGAACTCTTTTATATTCTAGACATGATTCCTACTAAATAGCAAACAAACCAAACAAAACAAGTTTCCTGCACCTGACTTTCAAACTTCCCAGATCCATCTGTGAGTCTGCGTGTTTTGTCATATGATGAGAAGTGAAGCACAAACAGTTTTCAGGTGTTCCTCTCATCTCTCCATGCAGATGTGCAGAGTTACCCTTCAGAGGAGACATTCAGTGGGACAGGCTTCATAGCGCTCCTCTGTTGAAGCAACGTCTTTAAACGTGTCGCCTCTGTGACACCAGCACAGCAAGGCTGGTATAGTTCAGCACGATAAACTAAAAACTACAAGTAAAAACAGAACTTTAGAAACAAAACTTTCATATTATGGAATTACAAAAGTAAATAATTTAAAATTAGAGGAAATATCTTTGGATTTGGTCTTTGTGTGAAGAACTGGCGTGAGAGAGCGTTGGCGCACATTGAGGATGAGACGTGACATCTGTTGTGTCTTTTATAACTTCTTATAAAATTTCCTTGAAAAATGCACACATAATAAAAATGATGTATTTAAAAACCGAACACTAACATACTAATAATGTAATATATCACACCAAAATGAAGTAAAAATATAGAACTATAACTATAACTCATAGTATTATTTGATATGCAGTTGTTCTGTTATTAAACTGTTTTCAGGTGTGCCTGTTCTGGTTGTTGGGGTAACCCTGGTGATATCCATGGACAAATACAAAGCAGACGATCATTGCTGGCTCAATGTGAAGACCGATACCATCTGGGCCTTTGTGGGACCTGTGATATTTGTCTTGGCAGTATGTAATCTTATTTTTGCTGTATCTGTCCCTGATTTTCATTCTATTCAGTATCTTTATTGGCCAAGCAAACAAAATTTCATGTCGCACATTTTGTTCCAAATTTCATGAAAGTTTATAGATGGTAAATGGCCTGCATTTGTATAGCGCTTTTCTAGTCCTTAAGGACCCCAAAGCGCTTCACACTACATTCAGTCATTCACACACTGGTGATGGCAGCTACATTGGCACCCTGGGGCGCACTGACAGAGGCGAGGCTGCCGGACACTGGCGCCACCGGGCCCTCTGACCACCACCATCACCATTATGTAATAAATCTTAGACATAATCTGACAGAATGCTGTTGCCATAATTAAGCCAACAGTAACCACATAAGTAACTATCCTTATACTAAAAAATTAGAGATCATCTATTGTTACTAACAATAGAGTCGTTTTTAACAGTAGAAGGTTCAAGTGATGTGAGATTGAAAAGAAAGTTTACAAAAAATAACATTTTTATTTGTAGCCACTTATATCCTGATGAAGAGACTTTACACTTTGTCTTATGTGTCTGTTTTTGTGGTGTTTTTTATGTTTTTTAAGAATATTTAAATGTGTTACATATAAGTTCCCATTCTTTTCAATCACTTCATATTATAAGGTTAAAACACCGCAATATTAGAGGAGAATATTATCATCCAAAAGATCAAATGATTCCCTATGAGACAGTGGGAAGGAAGAACCCGCTTTTAACGGGAAGACTTCAACAGATCCAGGCTCAGGGAGGGAAACACAGAGTCACCAAACCAAACACAAACTGGAGAGTAGACAAAAATGACATCACAATGCATCAACAAGGAGCTGCAAAGAACCTGCTACTCAAATGTGGGGGCAAAAAATGCAAATTGTATATTTTTAAAAGATTATTAAAAATGCTTTATGACAAAATGCATTTATTTGGTTTGCCTATTCATACGGTAAATTTTACTAATAGAAATACAAATATATAAACAAATACCTGGATGTCTTAATGAGAGTATCAGGTCATTCTGGATTTGTTGCAGAATCATAACAGTGAGTGTTTCCTTTATTTGTATATTCTGTTCCCTCCACCTGACAGAGGCGAGGAGCTGTGCAAACTGAAATCACGTACACTGCATTCACTGAATGCTGTTTGCTGTGATTTGATTTCCTGCAGCCTGAGCAGAAGGGGAACATCTCCCTCCTCCTCATGTGAGCTGGAGGCCAAGTGGTTCTGCAGTGGCACGTCTTGTGTTTGCCGGAGGCCGTGTTGATGCTGTTGTCCTCTGCCTGCAGGTCAATGCGGTTGTGCTGTGTCGGGTTGTCATGGTGACTGTTTCCAGCGCTCGTCGCCGTGCTAAGATGCTCAGTCCAAGCTCAGCATCAAAGATGCAGACCTATGACCTTACCTGGTGAGATACAATAAAGTTTGTAGCACTCTCTGTCACTCCCTCTCCTCCTGCTTTTTCTGTGCTCTCCTACGATTTTTTTTCTTCTGTTGTCTGGCCAAACTCGCTCTGCCTCTCTCTCTCTTCACACAGATACACACAAGCTTGCTATTTTCTTTTTGGTTGAGCAACCCATGATGAATAGAGACAGTGTGAGAGACGGGGAGTTTACTGTGGGAGTTGTAAGTGCTTATCAGCTTAACACCTGGGCCCTGCACAATTGTTTCTGTGTGTGTGTGTGTGTGTGTGTGTGTGTGTGTGTGTGTGTGTGTGTGTGTGTGTGTGTGTGTGTGTGTGTGTGTGTGTGCGCGCGCGGTTGCTACAACTTTGCTACAACTGTTATTCTTTAAAGCACTTTTCTTTAGAATTTCTCCTCACATTAAAGGACCGGATTGTTCCCTTCTCCTATTTAGCATTTCTGTTCCTATCAAGTCCTCTTAAAATTAGGATACCTGAAAAAATGAGTTCCCCACCAGGATTGGAAGAGGCACAGAGGAAGAGGACAGCCAAACGCTCTCTGTAGATGTCGTACAGTACGGTGTTTGTTCGTTTTATGTAACAGTCATTGTTGCCCTTAAAGTTGTGGCAGAAACAACAAAGTGTTGTTGTCCTGCTACACTAACTGTTAATTACATACATGTAAAAATGTATTAGTCTTCCAAATGCTGAGCAGCAAACACGACTTCCACCCAGTTCTGTTGCAGTGCTACAGTTAAACTTAGTAGCTCTGCTACGATATGCTTTTTTCTTTTCCTGTTAAAATGCAGATCTGTGGTGAGTTTTTGTTGTTTTTTACATAAATATTATTTCAGACACAGTCGGGTTCTCATTTTCTGGACAAAATGAATCCAAACCATTTGATGTTTACCCCCTTAATATCCACTCTTTCATCATCAACCGGTTTAAGGTGTGTCTTTTGTTTTAGGCCCAAATAAACGTTACTTTTTTAAACCGTGCAAATATATTTCCCATTACATCCTATAAATGTTAGTTTTCTGCTTCCAATTAAGCAGATATTCTTTAAAAAGTGGTTAAGATGTTAAAATCATTACAGGTAGGGAAGAAATTATTATTTAATGCACATCTACATGTACCTGTAGATATTTTATATGTAGAATGTGTGGGCATTCTTCAGTAATGTGCTTGTCAGAGGATAATGCACAGGTCAAAATATTACAATTAGAAAGTCTTGCTGTCTGAGGGAGAAACTGGGATCTCACATATTTTACCTGATAATTTCAGATTCAGGTAAACAAAATGCTTCAACCCAGCATCAAGCAGCTCTCTTCCTTTTTATCTCAGCCCGAAGCTGTTTGCCCCTCTCGCTCTCGCTGTCTCTTCGTTCCCTCACAAACAGACTGAAAGTCTGTGCCAGTGTTACGTCAATTGAAGAGATTAGAGGGAAAACGACTTTCAAAAATAAAAGGGAAGAGAGTGTTGGCTTTGTCCTTGCAGACACAGTGTAGTCTGAAAACTCAATCTCTCTACCCAGGTGCAGCAGTGTGACAACAATAGTGGTTTGAACAAAGGCAACCTCTTCTGCCTTGCCCCATGAAATGGTTATTGGCCGTATAAGCACCGGGATCATTGAAAGAAAGATTGCAAAGGAACAGGAGCACGACTGTGGTAGGCGGTAAAATCTTTAGCTATGGAGAGATCTTTGATGAGAATTCAAGGAGGAAATATCTGAGAAGAAAATGTCATCAAAATAACTTGAAAACTCCGCTCTGCTCGTTCCTTCTGTCTGTCCTCAAGTTTTATAACAGGGTTAACAAAGAGAAAGAAAAGTACTCAGGAATCAACACAAGGTGAAGTTTTCTTTCATAGGTGTGAGACCTCGAGCTCATCTTTGCACACACCCGTTGTTCATGGATGTTTCATGTACATGTGTGCTTGCAGGGCTGTGACCCGTCCAGTTCTGATCCTGCTGCCTGTCCTGGGTCTGACCTGGCTGTGTGGCGTGCTTGTCCATCTGTCTGTGGTAGTTGCCTATATTTTCATTGCTCTCAACTCCTTCCAGGTAAGCAAAGTCCCAGCTCTTTGCATATTGCTGTAATATTAGTGGTTACTTGCAAAAGGAAACAAAACAGCAGCTGAATTGTGTTCATTTAGACCAGGGCTGCCCAATCCCAGTCCTCGAGAGCTACTATCCTGCAGCTTTTAGATGCATCCCTACTCCAACACAGCTGAATCAAATGGTTTGATTACCTCTTCAGCATGCCATCGTGTTTGGCAAAGGCCTGATAACAAGCCATTCATTTGATTCAGCTGTGTTGGAGTAGGGATGCATCTAAAAGCTGCAGGATAGTAGCTCTCGAGGACTGGGATTGGGCAGCCCTGATTTAGACAATGTGTCGATGTGATATATAATCTTTCTTCTTCATTTACTCAGAGAGGAGAATTCAAATTACATCATTCATTTAGACTTTTGATGCCAAAAGCCACACTTCTGGCTTTATGACGTGCACATGTCATCTACAGGAGAGGCTCTTAAATGAGTAAATGGCATACAGAAACATATAATACACAAGCTCAGCGTGATGAAACATTAATAAAACACACCACAGAGGTGTTTGGACCAAACAGCACAGAGGACTCCCTGAAGGTAACTGCCCAATGAGAAGCTCTCAGATAACCGCATACTTCAAATGATACAACAAAGAGACAATAACAAGTATTGGTTGTTTTGTATGGTTAGAAAGCAGAGGTGTAACTGTAGACTGTCTTGTGATAAGTAACATTTGTGTTTCATTAATCATAATTAATGCAACATTACAGTTGCTTATGTATTGGGGGTTATCTACCAACTGGAATGTCAGTGCTTTGAACCTCAGCTTTTCAAGGGAACAATTCTATACTGAGAGTAGCTCCAGGTGCATCAGTCAGTGAGTGGGTGTGATTCAAAAAATTTAAAAAGTGCATAGAATAAAGTGCAATATGGATGTGTTCGTGAATTGGTGAATGTGTTGTGTAGCATGGAAAGTCTTTGAACACCCAATAAATGTTTAAGAATCTCCCATTGGTTCATTCGGGCGGCCTTTTCACTTGAATGGGTTGAATTAGGTATTCAAGCAATCAATTACTTGGTTACTTTTGTCAAAAAGGTTTATTGTTAAAATGATGAAATGTATTAAAAAAGGTTTAAAGCATTTTGCACTTTTGTTGTAAAGAGGGAAACAAAGAACCCCAGCCTCTTCCAGTGGTTCAGTCTTCCTCCACCTTCTTGGTTAGCAGCTGCATAGTGAAGTGTATCCAGTGCTGTGATGTTGTGACTATACATGTTAGTGTAACCAGCACAACAGCGGAGAATACCACCTCTATTAAAATTCAGTACAGTAGTGGGGTGTATAAACACACAGAGCCTGAAAAGTGATGAGTGAAGAAGAAATGCTCAGTGCATCATGGGAAGCCTCTCAGAAGTCTGTGGCACCACACCAGGGGATTCAGTTTCACTTCAATTATAAGCTTGATCAAAAAGACTCATTTTAATCCTAAAGTTCAAATCCAATTCAACTCAATTCAATTCACTTGTATTCATGAACAATAATACAACTATAATTCAAACTGGGGGCTGGTTCCATAGTAGAGGGGCCTGATAGCTGAAGCCTCTCATTGTACTTTAGGAAACTGTAGGAAGCACATGTAAGCCTGCACTGTTCTGCATGAAGTGAAGGAGCTTTAGGGCGATTGTCAGGTTTGATGATAAATGAGAACGCCACATGCAGACTCATAAGCAGGCGGGGATCTAATGAGAATAACCTTCTATTGAAGGCGGGACTGAAACATGATTACTGCAGACATGTCTGAATAAATAAAGCTGGATATGATCTGCATAGCAATGACAATGTATGCCATCTTTTTAACACTACTCCCAAAGACAGCATACGTATGTAATGTCAGAAGTATTGTGTAATGTGAAATCACATTACAATCACATTATTGATACAGTGATGTCCTTATACGTACATTCTTCAGTCATTTAGACAATAGACGTATAACCTAACACACAGTTTGTAGCAATAAAAAGCAGTACGGCATTAAAACTGACTGTATGCCAACAAGTACCTGCAACAGAGATGAGCAATCAGGCTGCCTTTCAGTTCAAGCCAATTCATGACTCAACAAAATTAGAGAGACACACCAACAATCAGATAATTACCTATGAGCAAGCACCAGGAAAAAACATCCGGCAGAACCAGGCTAATGGTGGAGCAGCCATTAGGAGTAAAGGGAAGAGAAAAGAGAAGAAGGTTGTAAGGAGACAGAAAACATCCACACTACGGGAGAAAGAAGAAAAAACAGCATTGCAGGCTCCATTTCTTCATTACTGCTACAGGGACTTATATCTAATAAGATTAACCCCAGTTATACCTCAAATACCAGCTTTCATAAGAGAATGCAGCCACAGACACATCTCCAGCACAGGCCTTTACAGAATGTAAAGCATCTGCAGTGTCGTTTAACAGAGTAGTTTTGAGATGCATGGAAAAAATAAATACATAAAAACAGTGCATACAGGATCATGGTGCCACTGAGTTGCTCCCCATATGGAAAAGAAATAGAATAAACTTATAAAAGACTTGCATCAGATGTGGCCTTCTTCATATAGTGACTCATATAAGGCTGATATGATTCACTCATGAAAGTGGCCACTTTCATATATTGTTTTAGTAAATATCCAAAACATACAAGTTTCATTTATATCATTTTTCAAGGGATCTTATATCTGTTTTCACTCTTGTATGCTTTTCATACAAGTTTCACACAAGACCGATACAAACTTTATAAGACTTATAAATATCTTTTCCATGTGGGCATATTTTAATCTTTCAACATTCACCAGGTCACAATGAACAACTTTCTCTCAGTAGTCATTAGTATCAGTATTTTAGCAGTAATATGATTTTTTATTTTTTGCTGTGATATCTGCTGTTGTTTTTAGTGTGTGTGTGTGTGTGTGTGTGTGTGTGTGTGTGTGTGT